CCAAATTTATTGTAAACAGCATTCATAGAGAGGTCCATAAGATTTAACAACTCAAAAAAATGGAATACATTTGTATCTGTGTTATTTTTGCCCACTGTATAAATAGCTTTCACACTCCATATGCCATTATGGAGCAGATTGTTCTGTTGATGTGCCATCCCTGCAAGGCATTCATAAGATGTAAGCTGCTGATGTTGACATGGGTGTGTCTGCAGGCCTGAGGCCAAGTCTGGGTGCAGAACAGCTGGGACCAAAATCCTCAGTTGGCTTTTTGACAAGAAACGCACATATATACACGCACATGCACAAACAGATGGACATGTAAACAACAGAATAGAACAGCCCAAATCTCTTCCTATCAAATTAAAAACTTCCTGTGGAGCTTCTTAAAATAAGCACATAGTGGATAAACTTCTGTCTATCAATTTACAATGCCCACTTCTGTCATTTAATTAAATTAATTCATTTATTTAAAAAGCACAATGCACATTAATCAATATTCAAATTAGAACAAGTGCTCATTTTCATACATTGTTCTGAAACAAGTGTGCAAAAGACACAACAGCCAATAGAACTAACATTGCACTCTGAAAGTTGCAGTTAAAATAGACCTACTTCATGAATCACTACGCAACTGATTTTCTTTAAGATACATTTTAAGATTCTTTTTAAAAAATGCAACAATTGTTTTAGTATCTCCCACCATTTATTCCATAAATGCAGTCAGAGGCTGCTGGTTGCAGACAAATGACAATTAATTCCACCAATTTGAAAAGATGGAGAAATTCCACACCTGTCATCAAAAACACAAAGAATGTCCTTGGAATTTTGTAAATTTTAAGAAATGTCATCATTAGGCCGAACAAAAATAATCACAATTCCAAAGTGATTGAAAAACTGATAAATATGAAACGAAACTCCAAACTTATCAGCTCCACTGAGTATCTAACTGTGCGCAGCAGAGGTCAAGTAGAACATGAGCAAGTTTTCCCTGCTCCTTTTGAGATCAACAACAGCTGCTGCAAGTTTAGCTATTTGGGTGGAACAAACAGAGTCTCGCCCTCTCTGGCTGCTTAAAAGAAGTCCTCTTCTATTTGTACAGATGATGGCGTCAACAACCGTCTGCTAACCCTCCACGCATGGGAAGACATCTACACAGCCACATGTCTATAACTCCTTCCCACCAAGAAACACATTTGTTTTACCTCATATTCTTCTCCAAAAGTGTCAAGCAATGGGTCAAATCTTTTGAAGTGGGGTTCTGTGGAAGGGTTATGAACAAACAACATCTTACTTGTTGGAGATACCTTTTTGAACAAACTTAGTTTTAAGAAGTAGATCTGCCCAGAATGATGAGCTAATGGTTAATCCAAGTTGAGTCAGTTTCAAAGCAGATTTCTGCCGTCAGAATTCTGTSGTTATCCTGAGTGATTAAAAAAGAAGGCAGGCTGGACTTCTCTTGTTTCTTGAAGACTTTCCATCTATAATCCCAAAGGTTTCTTCAGTTCTGGACTGAAGGAAACAGAGGAAGAAAAACAAATGAGAGATAAAAAAAGGAGAGAAAAGAAGAGGTCTTTTGGGATGAGAGGAAAAAGTCTGAGAAACAAGAGAAGTCCAGCTGCCTTCTACTTAACCACTCAGTAATACTGTACGTCCTGGGTGACTGAGGATCTACTCGAGCGCAGAAAGCCACAGCAGCAGCTACTTGGAGCACGTCTGTTGCAGTCTGGTGCGTTTCCAGCAAATATATTTTAAAATTATACCATATTAATGAGTGTCCTGATGCATCTCARTAATCCAGGTAAAAAATCAAAAAGAAAAAAATTGAAAGAAAGAAAGAAAAAAGTCTCTTGGAGGAGAGACGAAACGTTTCATTAGAGAAGAACCCGTCCAGAAGACCCATACAATTTTTTTCTTTTTGATATTAATGAGTTTTCACATGAACCACTGTGATATTTTTTATGTTGTAGTTATTTTATGATAAGAAAAATCTCTATACTGGTGCCGTTTCAGCTAACCATTAGCTTGTCAATACATTTAGAACAAATTTATGTATTCTTTTTTCAAAATAAGATTTTAAAATGAGCTTATGGCAACTGGTAAGAAAAATTCCCATTCAAAAGATGCAAACGTTCCCTTTAAATGTGCAAAATATTCTACTTTCTCTCTCTCTCTCTCTCTCTCGTGCAACAGCATTCACTAATTGCAATGTGTTAACGCAGCACAACCACTGGATTAAGCAGTATTATTTAATTTTACCTAAAAGCAGTGACATTCATTCCCTCTCAACCCTCCAGCATGTACCCAGGTCACCCAGAGTCCCCGCCCGCTGGGATCCGTCCTCCACAGATGGGATTAAGGGTGTCTCATTTACAGAAACGTTGTATTATTTTTCAGAAACCTTCCTTTTTTTTTAGTGCCAGAACCAGACGGGGAAAAAATGACCATCTGCTCTGACTCGCTTATGTATCACTAATCCCAGGTGGCGTACAAGCAGGCAACAAACACACAGACTATGCACAAACACACATATGTGGAGTGATGCAAAATACACTATCATCGAGTAAGTCGTCTCAGATTAAAATGACTTTATTACACATATTGTGTTAATTAAATCTACCACTAAAACATATTAAAAGATAAAATGTAGTCTCCTGAAAAGTATGAATATACAGGAAACATCAAAGATTTGGGTAAGAATCCTTTAGTTGGTTGTCATCACAAAGTGGTAAGATTATTTGTTCCCTGGAGGTAGTCCAATTTTTTTTTCTGTAATCATTTTCAGTCACTAATCAGAGATGTGGTTAAAAGTAGAAGCATGCAGTCAAATGAGCAAGCAGCCCAAAACAATCAGGATCCACATTAAACAAATGTGGGAAAAGCGCGGGATTGCGCATTGTTTTTAAATGTAGAAATCTTGGAAAGCCAATTAATTCCCCTTAGAAATGGTGCCACATTTGTAAGGAACATGCATTGATGGTAAGAGCAGTAGAGCTGAGTATGTGGGTTGCACATATGAAAAATTCAATCAGGTGTAAGATTTATTGCCAAGAAGCATTGTTACAACAAAGAAACAACATACCAAACACAAATTTCCTTACTTTTTGTGTTATTTTTATCATCACCCACCTCATGTCAGGTTTTTTCATGTATTTTAATTAAAATCTCAAACGTCTATAACTCCACTAACTTCATAGATGTGGCCAAATTTGGTGTGGTAGTAGCTGAGTGTCGCCTTCAACATATACAGACACAAATGATGCCAGCTGTTGAACTTTTAATTAAAAAACTTTGTAACATGTAGCACTCTGAGCATGTATTGGGGATGAGTATCAGTTACTAAAAGCCTAAGTTTAACTCAGCAGCTGTCAAACTGGCTGATTCATAACCAGTTTTGTGTTTTCTGCTGTGGTGGCCATTTTGAACAGCGTTGACTCCAGAAGCTAACCGTACATCCAGTTATTACTTATTTTAAGAGTGTCATAAAAAACCATCCACTGGCTCACGAGTTCTTATTGCTATCAAATAAAAGTGCGCACACATACAAAAGGTAAAAACATTATTGCTTTGCTTTCACTTTCAGCAGATAACTGAGATATAAAGCAGTGTTCAACAATGAGCAGAGCTGTCACAGTCCCAGAGTTAACGTTAATGATTTAACCGTCATCCAGGACTTCGTGATTACAGTGATTAAACAAGGCGGTCACATCTCAAATCATCCCAATTACATCCACACATAAACATTTCTGACAGATGAAAAAGTGAGTGGAGCTCTGCACCTTCTTCTCTGTACATTTCAAATGCTTGGAAACTTTTTTCTGTTTGTTTTTGCAGCAGCTCACTGCTCTCTTTGTAGATCAGAGATTAAGCCCCATTTCTCCTGTTGAGTACATCACTCCATGTCATTTGACCTAATCCTTCCAGCTCATGGCATGGGTTTTCTTGAAAAAAAAGAAAAAAAAAAGTCATGTGCCGACTGCAGTTAAGGAGGGATGTGTAGGATTAAGTGCAGGGTGGTCCCTAAAGAAAATTATAGGTTCTAGAAAGCATAATACGTTGTCATCATTTGCTTTCAATCTTAATAATTTTTTTATTTGATTTTAGATTTAAATATAGTTTGTCCCTTTGTGTTTATCATTCAATGGGCCTAAAAAGAAGAACAAAAGAAGCAGAGCAGAGGAAGAATACCACAGACAGATGAGACACAGGATGCTGAAAGGTGCACAGAAAATCACATAAAAAAGGCTGAAAATCCAAATCATGACTTGGTCATACTATTATACTTATACTATTAATGCAGGACGTATACCACTTAAATAATGTCTGTTTTTTTTTTTTTTGGGGGGGGGGGGGGGATGCACTTGCAGAGCTTTTAAAAAGAAGAACAGATTCACATTTTTCCAAGTTTAGAAATTCAGAATATACAGTTCTACCCACATAAAAAGCTTTAAACAGACACAATCCATTTTATGGGTTAATTTCTTTACTTTCTCAGCACAGCGTTTTACTCTCAGACAGCAGCTTTACTGTTTTGTTGTTAATCTAAGAGGAGAAATATAAAACTGAAACACAATCAGAATCAGAAATCTTTCAGACATACTGTATGTCATTGATTAGTGTCCTACACTTTTCAGCTTTTTACTCGTAGAATAACAGTAGCATAAATAAATAAATAAATAAACTTTAAGTCAATTCTGGAGTTTGTGAACTATCCCTTAAGTTTTGCTGCTGTCAAAGAGTGGAAGCATCCGATTTTTAATGTTGTTGAGAAACAACCAACATGTGATTTTTTTTTGTTTTTGCAACACAAGAGATGAAGTTCAGTTCAAGGACCTGCTCTCCCTGATGCTCCTTCCGCGGTTCATCTTTTGTGGCACTTTTAAAATTATCCAACTGGAGCAAGTAAAAAAAAAGGCGCATCTCTTTTTTTCCTGAACTTTTTCCTCACTCGTGAACCCGGATAAAAACCTGACAGGTGTAAAACAGAAGTAGCTGCCTACCTTGATCCTCCAGCCTTCAGGCCATCCTGAGTGAAGTTTGAAGCTCCGGGCAGAGCCGGAGACATGTTTCAGTTGGTGCGCACTGGACCCACGGACCAACAGGCGCGTCCTGCCCTCTCCGCGCCGACAGCTGGCACCGCCGGGGTCACCGGCCAATCACACGGCCGGACCAGATGTAAGTGATATAACATCATCCTGATTAGCCTGTTTTTCAATTTGGCCAATTCACTTGCATCACAAAATCCACCCCACCCAACCCCACTTCGTCCTCCAACCAGAGAGGCATCGTTAGGAGAGGAGGAGAGAGGGAGGAAGGAGACAGACTTGTGTTCTAACATCTGTCACTCTGCTTTTATCCTCTCATGGTGGAGAGAGAGAGAAGATCTGCACACTAGGAATTTTCATGTTTAACATGTGCTTAAGCCCCCCCTCCACAAAAAAAAATATATATACTTTTTTGTGTTTTTTTGTATTTTTTGCATATACTCACTTTGTGTCCTTACACAAAACCAAGTTGTTAGTTTTGCACAGATTCTGTTTTATTGGATCAATGCACTACGTCTGATCAAATTTTCATTATCATAAACAGAATGAATACATTTGTTTCATCTTTAGCTTAACAATACGCCTTCATCAAATATACGTTTTAAAAACAAAATATGTGCACTCATGATAGCTCCTCATGACAGCTGCTTGAAAAAGAGCAGTTTTTTTAAAAGATCATATATATAAACAAAACTAAAATAAAAGGGATTACACGTCAGCAAAAAGTCAACAAGTTAAGCTGAATATATATAAATAATAACTACAAAATGCAGAACTGTTGTAGATCAGATAAATACCATTAACAGTGCTGCAGCCTATTTCATTAAGCAACAGACCAGTGAGCCTCACAAAATGGAGCGCAGTGTTATAAGTAAAACAACAAAGATGAAAACATTTTAATTTATGTTTTATTTTAAACTTAGTCAAAGTTAGGATACACATTTAACGTGCTTTATGTTCTCATTTATTCCAGGAACCATTTAGGGGTCAAAGAAATACTCACTGTTATTGAGTGACTGTGTTTATAAATATATATACAGTATAAATAAATAAATAAATAAATAAATAAATAAATAAATAAATAAATATTACTTTCATTTGGTTTGTCCGACCCTTGGACCTGCATACAGCCTTATAAAGAGGAGGAGGACCCAGTCTTGAGGAAACATGAAGTTACATTAATAAAAGTAGGATAATGCTTCCCTCTAGTGTCTGCTGCTGGTACTGCTTCTCTTTTTGCTACTGTCAAACTGGTACATTTATTTATTTATTTATTTATTTATTTATTTATTTATCTGACCTATTTCCAGTCATATGAATCGTTATAACTTTATATTGTTGCAATTTCTGGCCTCATGAACTCTCATTTGCAAAACAACACATTTATTTATTTTTATTTATTTTCCACAGTGATTCTTTGTGATTTTGTATTGCTTAAAACTGCCAACATGTGTTGCATTTTTACATTATTGCCTATCTGTCCCAACATGTAATTGTTAATGTTGGTTTTTAGTTGTTTTTTTTTTTAATTTTCTACTATTAAAAATAGTACACTTTTGTTATACCAAAAGTTCTAATTCTTGTTTTCTAATAGTTTTTGGTTTTCTTTTCTCAAATATGGAAATTGTTCAAGTTAAAGTTGTTGTTTGTTTGAAGTTGTTTTTAATTAGGGACAGATATATATTTTTCTTTCTGCACCTTATCCATTCAATAATCGATTTACTTTTTTTTTAAATGGACTTTTTTTGTTTTTAACAAGTAAAAATTAAAAATAAATAAGTATTTAATCAACCAGTTCAATCCCTGTATTTTTTAATTAAAACTTGTGGATTCCTTCCTGCTGTTTTCAAACATTTCCCTCGATTGTAGTATGCTGAAACACAATCTACAACATGTCTGTCTGTACACTGCAACAACACTGTTTTCTGGCTACATATGCATCAATATTTGTGCCTGACTCAGACTATWTGGAGTATCTAAAACTTTTATTACACATCTCTCTACAGACCTCTTCTTTTCTTCTCCCACACACTTTCTGTCACATTTTTTTCTTTCTATCCCTACCTCCAGAGTTGTTACTACTAACACTTCATGTCTGACATGTTTTTCTCACAATGTGACAAAAATAGGTCAAACAGAGTAGAGGGAACTAAGCATTAAAGTAACACTGGAGAGAGATGCTTGGTGACAGGCAATAAGTCACTGGCAATAAATGGAAACCTCTTCATAAAGTGTGAACTTAATTTTTTATGATTATGTTTTACACCTAATTTAACTCTAAAGTATATTATGAACTAGAATGTCAGTAATAGTTGATTTTTTTATTGCCCTTCAATTAGTTTTGAAGGACAAATAGTAGAGGACACAAACTTCATGTCAGTGAGGTCAGTCCAGTGAAACTAGATTTATAGATCAGTTTTTCAAATAAATCAAATGATAAAACAGATTTACGAATACGAATTTAAACCAAAAATGTAACTAAGGCACAGATGAAACCAGAGAGAAGCAGGATGAAACATCAAACCACGAGGGACTGCAGAGCGTGGTTTGTGAGCTCATGAATAATTCATGCGAGCGGGATATTTTAAGCTCCTCACATTATGGCTGTGAGCAACGAGTCAGTGGGACGTGGTGACAGAAGTGAAAATCATTCTCTGCATTTTCAATTACTAATGTTGCAACACGCTCATTAACAAATTAACCTTCCTTCTTCAAACTCAATTACAAGAAAAAAATAAAAATATAAAAAAGAACAACAACCATGCAACCAAAGCATAAACTATAAACTGTTGGYGTTTATTACTGTAACTTAATACTACAAAACAAGATTTTTTTAAAGCAAAAGAAGTGCCCTACATCTACTCTCCTTTTTTAACTTTACTTTTATTTTACTTTAATTTTTGTTTCCTTCTGTCTTTTTTTTAGTTGTTCATAAACTAACTGTTAAACAATGACTGTAATGCAAAAGAGAATTTTACAATTTGCTATTGAAAACTACTATGACAAATACAGTTTTACAGGTTATGGACTTGTTGCCTGTTTTTGGTGAGCTAATATTCCTGTAAAAAAAGTGCTACTATGTATTACAATGGCCACTGGAGGGCAGAAATGATTATAGTAACGTAGAAAAATGAGCTTGGCAAATTATTCTTAGYATACAGTAACATAAGTCTGTCTAATTAATTAGCTTTTTTCTCCTGTTTCTCAGCTTAAATAGCTCACAGTATGTGTCATTACCTGCTGTTTTTATCATTTTGATGAAGCAGCAGGACTTAAGCACAATTTTTTTAGATCTGACAAAGGCTGTAAGTTGGAAAAAACTGTAATTTTTCTTTTCTTTTCCATTTAGCAAATACTGCCTGTTAATCTTCAGCAGGGTTAGTGATAAAACAGTACAGAAACAGAAACTGGTGCTTATAGTGTAGCATGTGTTTCATTTGGTTTGATCCTAACAAACTGAGTTTTTTCTGCTTGTCAAGATCAAACCAAAGTGAGTAGAAAAGACGATCAGTGAAACAGCAAAATTATCTTTTACATTGTTTATTTTATTTTTTAAATAATTATCAAAATGACATTTGGAATCAGAATCAGAATCGCCTTTATTGTCATTATAATTTGCATTACAATGAAATAGGGTTTGCKGCTCTAAGGTGCTTGCTATTTTAGACTCGATAAAATAACATCAGGAGAGTAGACAATATAATAAAATAGACAAGTTAAAATCAAATATAGATAAAAATGTGCACTGTCAAAAAAGGAAAAACCAAAGAGTTTCTGTATGTATAAAGAAGTTTAATCATATCATATGATGATCAGTTTATCAGTGTAAACCATTAGCATTTTTGTCACCATCTTTAATTAAAAAMATGTTTAGACAAAGGTTTTGAGAAGAGCACTAGAGTCATAATTATTATGAATATTCCATGGTGTGTTACATATGAGCATGAATAATTACTCATAGGACACAACTGAAGGTCAGCATACAGGTTTATTTAGGAACCGTTCAGGTCTTTGTGTGTCCTTCGCACCATATGTTCACCTTAAACGTATCCATCTCTTYGTTCACTTCTACCTCCACATCATCCGCTGACCTTGCAGTTCTTCTGGGCGTTGTGTGGTCCATCAGTTTTTCAGGTCACGCTTGAAAAATTGTAGAGGCCTAGTGTGTCTCTGAAAATGTCATCGAAGGTCATTTTAACCCCTTCTCCTTTTTTAAAAGTACATATAGTTTTCATGAGCATTTCTAAATCATGACCTTTACATCATCCTTCTTTTTAACTGCAAACATAAATACTAAATTAAACAGAAAACCTGCATCTCTCAAAGGAGGGGGCTAGGAGTGATGAAAAGGGGCTTCCCCCACACTCTTCTTTCCACATGCACACAACAYGGTTTCCCTTATGGAAAATGATTTCTCATAAAGAAAGCTCAGGTTGACAGGCTTTCAAGTGAGCTGCGTATTAAGTGGTAAATCAGCTTTTGCTGTTCAGGGGAAGTGCTCCCAGGCATTCATTTAGCTTATTGGCTATAACCTCTTGTCAAATACACACACACACAAACATCCCTTGTGTTGATCAGAATGATTGATAAGGTAGAATCTGAGCTGGAAAGTATATTGGAAATACAGATTTTAATAAATCTGCATGGCTATTAAATAGAATGCATCACATCTGAGTTGCACACAGATGTGCAATATAAATGATTTAGTCGTTCTCAGGGTGGGTTGAAGGAAAATACAGGTCAGCTTTCCATCAAATGGAGGAGTCCTGCTGGATAAAGTTACTCATCCTTGAAAGAAAATCTGGTTCTGTCATCTGAACAGAGGTAACTCTGTCTGTTAGCAAAATATCTAATGAATCTATGCCTGAGTTTTAATATTTTTTCAGGAAATGATTATTGGAATGCTGTAGTGCCCATTCGTTGACACTGAATAAAAAATTGTAACTCGTGGCCATGAGATAATTCTGAGCGGCGTGATACAGACATTGGTGGAGTCAGATTTTGAATATGTTGTTTTTGTTTTAAATTATTTTWAAATGGTAAATGGTCTRWACTTTAGTATTGAACTATTCAAAMCTGCCCCACACATATTATCTCAATTTTTTGGTGTATTTTAATATAGACAGTTCATTTTTTCTAGTAGGCTATTTATGAGATGAAAAATGCCCTAGGTGTGTGTCGGGAAACAGATTTTTTAAATTGTTTTCCTAAATGCAACATAACTTCAATTTTTTCTG